GGGAGGGACTTCATGTAGATCTGCAGCGCGTTCTTCAGGTCGGCGATTTTGCCCTGCATGGAGCCTGAGCGGTCGCAGACGAAGACGACTTCGGGCTTCGTGGTGGCGAGCTTGAACTTGGGCACCAGAGTGGCCATGATGGCCTGCTGGTGGGGGATTGTGGGATGCGTCTCGAGGACGGCGATGGGGTTGGATGTGTTGGTTGCGATGATCTGGACGATGAAGTCTCTCTCGAGCTCCGCGGTTCCGAGAGAGAGCGTGGCAGAGGCGAGCTGGAGGGATGGGGTGGCGTCGGCGCTCACGGTCGAGGTTGAGCCGACGGAGACGGCGATGGGGTGAGAAGGGGACTGGATGGATTTGATGGCGCTGCCATCTGGCATCTCCGCGTCGACGACAATCTCGATGCCGTCCTTGGAGGAAACATTGGAAGGCTTCTCCATCAGAGTGCCAGGGTAGGAGCCGTAGCGGGGGGCGATGCTCGTCGGGATGGTAAGTCTGATGCCGTCGACCTCAGCATCGTGCTTGAGCTCGCCGAGGTAGGAAATCTCGACCTTGAGCTCGGCGCCGGCGGGGGCGTTTCCGATAGTGGTGGTGAACACATCGCTGGCTTCAGGCAGTTGCTCAAAGAGGCCAGCAGTCTCACCTTTGGCGACGGCCGCGTCGTAAGTTTTGCGAGCCGTGTTCTTCTCCTGGACAACGCCGCGGATGACGCGGGTGTTGTTGATGGTGCAAGTGAAGCCTACCACCGAGACGCCATCGTACAAGGGAAAGGTGTAGCGGAGCTCGGGGATGACTTCGGTCTTGGATGGGTTGACGAAAGTCTGGGTGAGGGTCGTCCTTGCAGTCGATGCGATCACACGGGCGTGAACTGATTGTGAGACGGTAGGCAGATAGTTCCGTCGATATCCATAGTGATAGAGTGACGTCGGATCGAGGTAGTAGAGTCCGCAGACGTGACCGGCCATGTTGTTGACCTGGCCGCCGAACAAGTTATATCCGGTGCTCTGTCCAAAGAGCCCACCTGTGGTACCTTCGCGATGGCCGTTGTTGTTGAGCGAGCCAAAGAGACCACCGGTGGCCGGGGCGTTGCCGAACGGGTTACTGGTGTTTTCGGTGTTGTTGCTGCTGCCATTGTTAGAACTGCCAAAAAGACCACCCTTGTTGTTGTTCGCGTTGGAGCCAAGGCCGCCAAAAAGACCTCCCGGGAGAGGATGTTGACCAAAAACCATGATGACGATAGAATACTTACGATCAAGAGCACGCGAAGTGAAGCAACGTTGATCGAGGGTACGCAAGGATGGCTTGGTATGTGTTTGGGTAGTTCAGTGTGATGATTCGTAGAGAGAGAACCAGAAAAGGGCTCAGATGCTGAGCCGAGTTGGTTTGAATGCTGGGAGAAGTACTGAAAGAGAAGCAGACTGAGGCATGAATGAGGGTGGTTCTTATACACACAAGAGACAGAGAATGACATCCATGGAGGAGGAGGAGTGGCTTGTATGTGCTCATTGTGGTGTGCCTGTGTCGGTGGTGGGCGCAGGCAAATCCAGGCACCAGCTACCTGCTTCAAAGCGACCAATCACAGCGCCTAATTGCTGCCAAGGCGGTGTCTGATTGGCTCAAAGTCCTACGATCGCTGGTGCCTGTGCCCCTAAACGGGTACCTAACCGGGCCTAGCAGGGCCTAGCAGGGAGTTCCGCGACTCCGCCCAACGTTTTCCGCCGCTGCGTATTCCTGCTCGCCACATCACTTCATTGGCTTTCTTTCCAAACCACCAATCGTCGTCGTCGATCACGGGCAAACAGCTCTCTGCTTAGAAATGCAGTGCAGTCTGCCTTTAATAAACATCTTTTATTTAAATCATTATCCGTTTCTCTTCAATATTGTAAAGTCAATCGACTTAATCCCATCTTCTGAAAAGTCTAGGCTGCCAAGTATGTCTGGGTTAGTGGCTGCCTTCATGGTGAAGGACTTCAGTTGTGACTCATAAAATCCTACGACTAGGAGCTCAACAAGATTTCAACATGCTTGATAATCAAGATGGACCAAAACTCAATTGACAATGGGTGCAATGTATCGATCGCGGCGTTTCAATGTGGTTGTTCCCTTGATCCAAGCTTCGTCCATGCTTCACGCACTCCGAAGATCAAACTGTGACTCATTGTTTTGTTCAGATGAAGCAATGGTCCCTTGGAAACTTCACATCAAGCTGGCTGACAAGTAGCCCTTGAGATGAAGGTCTTCTTGGAGCATACAGTGACATATAGAACAGAACAGCTCCCTTCAGTGAGACCTCACCAATACCAAGTCAACCTCATCCCCTGATACCTGAAGGCCAAACGCGATAACGTCGTCTCTGCTCTTGACCTCTTCTGTCTGATGAAGCACACCGTTTTGATAGATGCCATAATTTCCCTCTTGAAGCCCAGTAAACTGAGGCTGGACGCTGTATACGATGTTAGCAGATACGTTCAAAATATTAGAACCAGCATCTCAAACGCACCTCTTGTTTGTGCCATCCCACGAGCGCAACGTAACCGCCAGCGCCTGAAGCTCCTCGTCCCAGCTTCCTCGCAAGAAATCAACCCCACTCGCGAGATCAACATTCTTGACAAAAGGCACAGTCGCAAAGTGTTCCGCATCCCAAGGCTTCTCATACATCGTGCGCTGGCCATCCGGGACGTTGAACCTCGCATACGCAACTGCAGCATTGCCACTGATCACATCCACACCGGAAGCCGCCTCAGATTTCCCGCTGCCGCCATAAAACAGGCCCCCATCCTCCCATGTAGGATTCATCTTCACATCCGCATACGCCAGCAACCCGTCCAGATGCTCCGGATCCCCCAGCTCCGACGCCCACATCGCCGCGTACGCAAAGTGCGGCTTCGTGAAGGGGAACCCGCTCGCCGGCAGGTTCTGCTCAGCAACCGCTTTCGCGGCCCTGGCGTAGGTGGCCGGGTCCATGGGGTCGAGGCGCTCGGAAGCCACGAGTTCTCGAATCTTGAACGAGACTTCGGGGTCGGGGACGAAGACGTGGTCCTCGTGGGACTTGGCTAGGTACCCGATGGCAATGTCTTTACTCGTGCGGCGGGCGAAGTCTGGGTTCCAGGAGTTCATGAATGCGAGAGCCCTGCGGGTGTCAGCTTGAACCTGCGCTGCGATTTGATGTTGTCGACTTACCAAGAGGTGAAGGCAATGTCGGACGGGGGCTTTGTTCGATTCTGCTTGGGGGAGTACCAATCGACGATGAGACCGTCGTCTGAGATCATGCCCTTGGATTTCCATGCGGCTTGGTACTTTTCCAACACCCCCGGAGAGAGGTCGATCTTGTCCCGGACATCATTGTATCTCAGTGCAATCAGCTAGACACATGTATCAGTCGCTTGTCATCCAGCTTTTGGATATTTCTCTCGCTCGCTCACTGGAAATTGGTTGCAGACGACGAATATGCTATTCGGCTCACAGCACACCCCCAACCAGTTCTCCCGCTCCATCTCCCGCAGTATGGCCTCCTGCAGCGTCTTTCTCGTGTAGCAGAATCTCTCCGGCCCCATGCCCCAGAAGATGGGGTTCCAGTTGAACGCGATCGAGCCCTCGTCGTCGAACCTGCCCTCGTGGAAGAGCATCTCGTGGAGCGAGACCATGAGAAGGAGATGTCCCGAGTACTAAGCTTTCTAATCAGCATGCATCAATAGACAACCTGCAATTCGATTTCGAGGTTACCATGATGTTCTCGCGAACAACCGGATCAGCCCAAGGCTTCCTAAGCTCCTTGATATCCGGATCGACCATGATCCCGCTGTGGCTCGTCAAGAACCAGTATCCCCAAACATCCCGCAGCAGCATCTTGTGAATGAGGCTCTCAAGCAAGGACTTGAAGGTTGATCTCAGCGCAGGCAAGTGGTGATAGTGCGCGGCGCCGGCGGCGTAGGCCATCGTTGCGAGCTGGTAGCGATACGCGTCGAGCCATTCTTGCCCGGGCTCCTGGCTGCCCATGTGCTTCCACTCGCCATCTTTCTGAGTGGCGAGGTTGTGGAAGTGGCGCAGGTGACCGGCTTGCTCCCGCGAGAGTTTTGGGAAGCGCTCGATGAAGTCCGCGGGAAGCGTTTTTGGCAGCTTGGACGGTGCTTCTCCGCGCAGCTCGAGCGTTCCGTTGTTCGTCTGGGTTGACCTGATGATATTTATGAGGGGATGTTTCCAAGTAGATCTGCAGGTAGAAATCAACTACTTACGTTATCGTTGCGGTAGCCATGATTAGGTCCCTCGATTGCAATCACGTTAAGAGTTGTGGTCCTCAATGGCCAACTATCCCGCAGCCAAAGATATTCATCGTCATTTATACTCAGTAATTTCCCCATCTTACCCTCCGACAGCTGTCGGAGTTAAACAGCGACATCAACAAAAGTCGTCCAGGATCTGAGCGTAAAAGACCCCCTGCCTCGCCCTAAATCTGACGTTCTCAGCCAGTCGAAGGGCGGATGAATTACACTTCGCTTATGACGGAGCTACTACTATGGCAATTGAGTGTGTTATGTGTAGTCAGATGGAGCATCGTGATTCGACAGCTGTACGCTTCGCCCGAAGAGGATTCGCTCTCCGGCAAAGGATTTTGCGGGGTCTCGCCCGATGATGGACGCGCTTATTCGGACGAGCGTCTCAAGATGGGGAATGGGGTCATGACGAACCGGGGTCGGAATCTAGTCGGGCTCCGGCCTCCCGTCGGTCCGTGTCATCCTCAACATCTATCAAGGTGCTGCTCTCCTCACGGTCTTTTCGGTCCGCTCCCATGGGTGGGTTAATACCGCCGTGTGGGTTCGGTAGATGCTGCGGCGCGGTGGGACAGAGTACTAGGTATGTCGTCTAAGTTCATTAAGCTCGACCTTTGTTAACTGCAAAAGGCAAATGAGCCCCGAAGTGGGCCGCGGGAGTTCGCGTTGAGTCGCCCCCACCATCGTGACCTTGACAACCTCTGCGGGGGGCGTGGATGAGCGGAGACACAGGCGTTCTTAGTGTAGCGGTTATCATCCAAGCCTTCCATTCGAGAAATCGAGAGCTTGGGACAGGGGTTCGACTCCCCTAGGACGCATTATCTTTTGCCTTCTCTGCGTTGTATTTGTCGATGTCTCTTCTTTTTGGCTGATTCTGGAGGTGTTGCGGAGTCTTTTGCTCATACCATGAGTGGTTGGTTGGTCCTTTTAATTAACAGACCGCTTATTAGTCCTGTGTATGCGCGGCTACATCTGTGTAAATAACGATTCCTAATTAAAACGGTAGTAGAAGTCGTAAGACTAATAATAATAGCGGCGAGGACGATGGCATCGACAACAATGAGGTGGAGTATACTCTCACAGGAAAAGTAATCGCTTTACCACATGAAAATCAGGCGGTCTCTTCATCAACTCACTATGAGTCATCCTTTTCAACCACCAAACCCAAGTATATGCCTCTCCAACTCCCCGAAATCTCCCAAATCCTGCCCCGTAAGCGTAAGATCCTGATTATGATAAATAGAGTAGCAATTATACGCATCCTCCGGCATCAACTCCGCCATCCCCGCCGCCTGCTCCGGCACCTGCGCATCCTCGCCTGCAGCCGGCTGCATCCACAGGTACGATATATCATTCCACAAACTCGAGTCCAGCAAACTCCGCGAGCCAAGCTGGCTCGTCCGGCCCGATGGCGTCACCACACCACCACCCTCCTTTGGCGTGGATCCCGGGAACGCATGCCGCCGCGCCTCTGCATCCTGACCACCGCCGTCGTCATCCACCGACACGACGATACTCGCATCCCCAGCGACGGTGGGCGGTTTGTTCCGCACCTCGCTTGGGCTGTTCTTCGGGATGTCGAGGAAGGTGGACAGGTGGTCCCGCATGCGGCGCACCTCGCGCGCGCGCTGGGACGCGAAGTCGTTGCCGCGGGCGACGAGGTAGTCGAGGATTTCGAGGGCGTCGGGGAGGCCCGGGCTGGGGGCGAGTTTCTGGGAGTCGTCGGAGGTGGAGTCGATTATGAGGGTGAGGATCATGATGAAGGCGGCGGAGAAGATGGCGTCGAGGTCGAAGAAGCCGAAGATTGCTGCATTCAGAACGTCAGATATCTAGGATGTGAGGGAGCAAAGGCTGCACTTACTTAGCATATTGCCCTTCCGCAACGCCAGCAAAACTTCCAGCAACCTCCGCGCCGCCTCTGAGCAGGTGCGACTCAACCTGCCGAGCGGCGAGGCCCCCAGGCTCAACCCACCGCCGTTGTCGTCGTCGAAAATTAGTTTTGAGACGTGCAGCATAACGGGGCGGATAGTGAGTAGGATCGCCTGGTAGAGCATCATATGCAGATACGCCGACGTGCGCAGCGAGACGTCGCCTTCCATGGACGGAATGTCGAACAGCTTGCTGGAGAAGTCTCCGGGGATCTCTTTGGCGATCCAGTAGAGAGACTGCACGATTTCCTGGACGCTTGGCACGAATGAATCTTCGGGGTGATTACCAGGTCCGTAGATTGCTGCGTGTAGTGTTAGGAGGCAGTGATGGAATGGTCAGTTTATCAGGTAGAACTCACTCGAGAGAATCCTGCCTGTGACCCTTGCAATCTTGATGTTGGTTCTCAGGGGCAGGGCTGGCGGGAAACCGGGAGAGTCGATGGGCATGTCAATCTCGATGACGTCGTCTGAGATGCCGGATGGATTCCCTGTGGCAGCAGCAAGTCGTCTATGTGAAAGTGAGCAGTTGCGCCTCAACTCTATAGGGAGACCACCAGAGCATACCTTTCCTGCATATATACCGTCCACCAAAGGCGGTTCAAGTGCACCTTCTCCGACTGCAACAAATGCTTCGTCCCCGAGTTCCTATGATACCCATGCGTCGTCGCAAGCCTCAGGGCCGAACTAATCTTCACTGCCAGTCAACACCCACACAACTCTGTTCGGCCGTACCAGGCTCACTCACATAAAGATACGCCTCCTCCTTCCGATTCGCATTCTGCAAATACACCGCCGCCAGCGCATGAATCTCCACGCCCAGCTTCCCCAGCCCAAACAGCTCGCTCAGACTCGGCAGCCGCCCCTGCACATACCGGAACAAGCCCTCGCCCGGCAACCCCACCTCCTCGTCGTCGCCGTCGAACGCGCCCGAGAACAGCTTCCCGATCGCAAATACGAGCACCATTTCTAAATACCACGGCGTCTGCGTCTGCGAGGGGTCGCCGAGGTTGGCGTAGAAGAAGGCCAGCCGGTCCGAGAACTCGCGCGTGTCGATGTGGTGCTGCGTGTACCCGATGAAGAAGGACATGCTCTCGAAGAGCTTGCGGCCCTCGTCCTCGGAGGGCAGCGCGGGGCCGTCATCGTGGGGTTTGGTTGGGGGTTGAGAGGAGGTTGCGTGAGGGCGCACTTGGGGTGTGGGTTCTCTGCCGCTGAGGCGAGGGTGCTCGAGGAGGTTCTGTAGGCGGGAGCCGAAGTTGTGGCTGGAGCTTAGGGTCGAGTCGGCGGGGATGGCTGGTGGGAGTGTGAGAGAGTATGGCTTCTTCAGGTATGGGGGTGTCTTACTTGAGCCCGGCGAGGACTCGACGACGTTACTCGCCGTTCCGCGGGAGATGGTGTTTGTAGACGGAGGAGAAGTGAGCTGATCTAGTGCTAGGCCCAGCAACGTCGACGCGGCGTTGACCTGCGTCGCATTATCCGTCGGCGTATGTACAGTCGCGCTTGTCCGTGGACGCTTCGGGGACTGCACCGGAGGGTCTCCGACTATCCTCGTCTCATCGTCTCTGCCTATCACTGTTGTAAGTCATCAAGTAGACGATGGCTAATCGACGTCACCCACCCTCGATGACAGAGAAGCCGAGTCCCTGGCTCTCATACCGCGCAAGCCTCTCCTGCAGATCCTGGATCCTCCTGTTACGGTGTTAGGAACTAGAATCCAGCTAAACATAATGTATTGCTCACAACTTACGTGACAGAATAGACCCGCTTCTTCCCAGGCTCCGGGAAGCAGCACTCCAACCCTCGCCGGCTGCAGTACGTGCACGGCTTGTCGCCGGAGCACTTGACCTTCTTCCGCCGACACGTCAAGCACCTGCCACCGACTCACCCGTTAGCATTCGCCAGTTCCCTCGACGTCCAGAATAGTCCAGCGGAGACTACATGTCGGTATGCAGTCGACCCCGTTGGCGGTCGCCGGCGCGGAGGAGGCCCCCGAGCGGGGTGTGCGTGTGTTCGGAGACTTACGCCGAGATGGTCTTGGCGGCATCGCGGCTCCCGCCTATCCGCCCCGTCAATGAGAGCCGTCTAGGGGACGCGCGCGACTCTGGATCCATTTCAAGTTCGATTTAGCAGCGGCAATCAACTTACACGCGTCTGATGTCGCTTCGTTGCTTCGGTTGGTTTGTTGACGGGAGTCTCGGAGGTTGACTGGATGGAGGGGGGAAGCGACCGGGGGATATCAGCCAGAGATAAGGAGGCGGGCTCCGAGGCTCGGAGTGGAGTAGCGTCGTCGCGAACTCAGCCCGTCGCGTAACTCAGATATGGAAAGCAATGCCGCGTGTATTAGTGGCATGATTGAAACAAACCCTCCTCGTTCGTGTCTATTCTGTGATGGTGACCACACACGATTCTAAGTCTGTGTTCATGTTTCCGTTTCTCATGCTTCAGGACTTGAGTCTGCCAGACCCTGAGGACTCAACCCCGGAGATAACTCGGCGACCTACCCAATCCGGCAACCGACCGAACCCACCACTCGAACCGCAGCGCCGCCAGCCACATCATCATCTCCAAGATCTCACCACAGGATCAAAAAGCACAGCGAACTCAATCTTCAAACTTCAGGTATAAAACATGCGATTCTCATCGTAAAAAGATGACTGTCACAGAGCCGCGCACTTCCTTCCTGTGGGCTCATTTGACTCGCAACCTTGCGGCAATCCATCGCCGTTGCACCTAAGCAGGATGAAGAGGCTTCGCCGAGACGTGCGTCGTGACTAACAAACCCGATGAGAGAAACACGTGGTTGAAGATGTCAATCTGTCCTAGATCGTCATCTTTCCAACCTCATCAAGTCATCAAGACCTTCCGTGGCTTAGAAATGCCACGTCTCATCACCTTTCAATTCTCGCAGAAGCTTTTGGGGTTCAGCTCAAATGTTGATGCAATGTCTTGTGAGAACGAGAGTTCACTAGGGTGAGAGACCAGATGTTAAACAATTTCAAGACGTTATTCAGATTCATTCTGCCTACTGGTCCACGCAAGGCAAGGTTCTAAGGAATGATGCATTGCCAAATAGAAAAAGAGACATTCATAAAGCCAGCCCTTCCGCCACATCACCCATGACCATATTCTATGACCCACAAACTCCATGCTTAGTGCCTTGAGATATTCGTCGTTTCAAGTCCCGTTGTGATCCTCCATCCCCGTCCAGCTCATCCTACACCTTAAATGCTTCTCTCCCGGGCAAAGTTCTAGCAAACTTCCCTTGACATATGTCGCGAGGCCTAAGAGCTCTCGTCAGACGTGGGGATAGGCTCACCGCGGGTGCGGTGCTGGTGAGTCTCGAACATGCGCGAGACGCGGTTCTGCTGCAGCCTGTGCTCCGTCTCGTGGATCCTGTTGAGATCGTAGTGACGGATCAGAAAGCTCAGGAAGAAGGCGATGACAGCCAGCGCGACGTAGACGCCGTGCACGCCCTTGAAGCCGTAGGCGTACGACTCGAGGACGGCATCCTTGAAGGTGCCGTCGGGCAGAGTCTTGACGACGAGAAGGTACTCCTCGGCGCGGCGGGCAATGTCCTCGGCAATGCCCTGGCGGCGGAGCTTAAGCGCCATGACGTTCTGGAACGTGGTCGAGCCCACGTTGACGCCGATGGCGCAGCCCAGCATGCGGAGGAACAGGTACATGCTCGCGGCGTGGCCCGAGTTCTGGGGGTCCACGATGGCACCAGTGACAAACGTCTGGGCGTTGAGGATGAAGCCGTGGCCGACACCGCCAATGACCAGGGTGATGACATGTACAGCAACAGATGTGCCAACGCCCCAGTAGATGAGAAGTCCAGATGCAAGAGCGAGCAGAGCCCAGCCGATCCAGATGGACCAGCGGTAGGCGTTGTA